TTAAGATAATCATCTGGGTTCAGTCCTGGGATCCGGTGAGATGATTGATTAGCAAATATTGTCTTTTCTAGTCACAATTTTAGATACTTAAGTTTCCTTTATTGCCACAATACACGTGCGCATAGTGTCCCCTATGGGTCGTGTTATGACGTCTCCACAAACTATTTGCGGAGGTAGCACCCGTCCGCACCCGGACGATCAAACTACACCATTACATGTTACCCCCGGGTTCCAACCATTTACTGTATCAAGATCTTTATAATATAACCACGCGTATCCTAGATGTTGTCTTTAAAGACTTTCGCTGTTACCGCTCATGTAAAGACTTACCCAGGCAAAGCTCTGTTTGAATGACTAAGGAGTTATGATAAAAAATGTTTTGATTTCGCCAGATCGCACACTAGAGAAAACGATGCGTCCTCATTGTATGCATGCAGTTGTGATACATGTATACAATCGTTTCCTTTCATTCTGTCAGCTTTTTCAGTAGCCTAACTCAAAGTTAATTTCCAAGTCCTCACCGCAACTTTATGGACATTTCCTAATGGAAAAAGATTGATTGTGTTTTATTTACCCTTGATTTGTCACAGAATGACATGATTGGTCCTCCCGGATATGGAGACGCTCGCTTTATTTCATTAAAGACTCCTCTGAACTACAAGATCAGGTTTGAGAATGATGCAAATGCTACCGCGCCTGCGCAGAACGTGATTATCCTGCACACTTTGGATCAAGACTTGGACATTCGCACATTTAGAATTACAGGGTTTGGGTTTGGCAACTTTACTAAAAGGCTAAGCAAGTCGGTAGCCTCCATTCAGGTAAGGAAACCAACCGAGTGTGTTGAGCTTAGTAAAAGTCCTATATTACTCTAGACCTCTAATCTTTAGTCACAATAGCTGTTGGAAATTCTCTACGATAAGTTTATCTAAGGGAAAATAATGAGACATTATTTTCTCGTGGTTCATCTACCAATTAAATCCCCCCCCTCCCTCCCTCCCTCTCCTCAGCCACATTCCGCCAAGAGGTGTCAATCGCGAGAGGGCCATAGGTCTAACCCCTTTTAAGAAGCAATCTGGAATCTCCTTCTATTGACCATGCCTAGACCCATGCCTATGTCAGTAACTAAATAATATCCAACCATTACTTAGATGGTAGATTTTTCTAGCGTTCCCTTACAAACTTTTTTTGACACACTTTAAAGTATACACTACGAAAATACATCACTTATATCGATAATGTTAACATCAACATATGTATAATGAATTATTTTGTTTTTGTTTTTGATTATCTGCCAGGAAACAATCAATTTTGTATCAGAGAAAAACCTTTATGTAAGAGTAGTGGCTGGCATAAATGTACTTACCCGTGAGGCACACTGGGAGTTTCAAAGCCTTGATCCTCTCACAGGTAGCTGGTTGTTCACATCACAAAAGGATCTACTACTTACCTCTGATGATAAACATGACCATGATTTATGCCAAAATGAAAATTTCGCTCGTATTTCTCTCACGGAAGAGACGAAAAACGGGACGGTAAAATCTCACAAGAACATTATTTGCGTTGGGCAAAATATGTTTATAAGAAAAAAAACACGCAGCATGAGATCAGAACTTTTCTTGCGTCTGGAAAACAGAAGAATTGAGTTTAGACTGGTGAATGTATGGTCATTTGTTTTTTTAAAATCAGTGAGTTTAAAAACCCATCTTGTAGTGCTTGTGTATTTATAACATGGTTTTATGATTCCGGGAATGAAACCCTACAGTGTGTTCGCTTAAAATCATTGACATTGGCATCAAATGATAATTTTTACGTCCCAAATTGTTTCTCTTTTACAGGTGAGACTCCGGATGATCCTCTAACTGGTTTCCTTCCACCAAACAATGGTACCACTGGACAAGGATATGTGAGTTTTACGGTTCGCTTAAAGAAGAACGCGCAATCTTTAGCAAGGATTGATGCAAAGGCAAGCATCTATTTCGACAAGAACGAACCGATTGACACCCCTCCGATATTTAACACGGTAAGGAGTTTGATAAAGCAATTGAGTTTGAGGGATGTGAATACCGGATGAGTTAAGGAAAAGCCAGAAAAAGCACAACGT